CCATATTTTCCGCCATCTTGAAACTGAAGGCGGGCTTTTGAGTTTCGTTACTAAAACTACAATTTTTTACTCAAGGTGACTAAGTACGAAGTTCTTGATGTCCACAAGAGCTTCCTGACACACTAATAGTTCGGTGGCTGTGTTGATGGGTGGTAACAATGTATTTCCACCGCAAAAACAATGATATTTTGGCAAGCCCAAATTTCAACCGTGAATCAATCTCGTGGTTAAAAATGGAAGTATGCAAATCAGATGACAGGGGAAGGACGCCCCCTACGGGAGCTATCCACTGTTATTTCGATTTTATTTAACCAGTATTATATGATAATTGGCAATTATCCCATTTGTTTATGAAATTAAAATTTCATTAACCAAAGGGGTTAGTATGCAATACTCTGTAATAAACATCAATGTTAGAATTGAGTTTTAATATAAACTGGAAGTCCACTGGTAGCTCACAGAAGACAGCTCATAATAAGAAAATTATCATTTAATCATTGTAGTATCTGTGCTTGTTTTAGTTTTAAATAGTATGACCTAGCCCTTGAATTAACAAATAATACTAATAATACTACTACTACTACTACATGTACTACTACTACTACTACTAGTACTACTATTAATAATAACAATAATAAGCCATGCATGGCACAGTCCTCATTAGTTATAAAAATTCAAGATATATACCGATAGTTCTGTTTATAGTAATATAGTTGGAATACAAGCCATGCATGGCACAGTCCTCGTTAATTATCAAATTTAAGATATATAGTTTTGTTTACAGTAATATAGTTGGAACATAAACATGTCAGAAGTATGGATACAGAAGATGATGCTTGATTATGATAATTTTTCAACATTAAAATGATTGAGATCTTGTATCTGATCGTCAAGCGAGTACTTGTCCATATTGACAAATATTGCTCATTAATAAAAAACAAAATGGTCAGCCATTTTGAATACATCTGTATATCTATGACATGAATTATAATGAATATATAAAATTTGAACATCATCAGTAAAAGCATGTCAGAGATATGTCTCTAGAACCACATTCATTAAAACAAAATGGATACCAGTAGGCCATTTTAAATTTGATCTGAAAAAACAAAATGACGTGCAACAAGGCCCTATAATGTCCAATGTATGTACCATGTTTGAACAAAATCCATCAATGAACGACAAAGATTCGGTTCCAGAATGCTAGAAATGCTTGATTTTTGATGATTTTTTTAGCACAAAAATGGTCGTCATTCAGACATCTTGAATCAGATCGTGAAACAAATTGATGTGCATATGTATGATATTATGTATTATATGTGAACTGTGAATGTAATTTTTCCAAGCATGTTCAAGGCATAGGTCTGAACGAATGAACAAACACATGGATGCACAAATACAGAGGTCAGTCCTCATTTTCTGTGTTTGAACTAGGAATGAATAATAAAGCCACAAAGTATGTGATATGTGACAATATTCACTGTGAATTCACTGTAATAAGGAACCCTGCAGTGAAAGACCAATTGAGGTTTTTCCATGTTGGTATATAGCATACATGTATACATTTTTGTATGCTATGCATTTGGCATCCACATTTCAGCGATGGATATTACAAATTAACACAAATGACACAGGAAAAGCTTTATTACATTATAAAACAAGCAGCCTGTCGGCTGAGATAGCTCCGCTGTTAGCAATGCACATTTCAATTAAAGAAAAGAAGATATCATTAGAAGATGAACAATATGTATAGTATCAAAGCAACCGGACTTGCTGTTTTCAACAAGAATTCAAAAATATCACTTTTCACCAAAAATTACAAAAATAATCACCAAAATTAGAGAATTAAAGTTATCACCACGAAATTAACAAATCTGAGAGAGGTCCACATGTAGTACTTATATATGTAATATCAAAGCAATTGGACTTGCGATTTTTAACAAGAAGTCGAAAATATCACTTTTTACCAACAGTTACAAAAACATTCACCAAAATTAGAGAATTAAAGATATCATTACAAAATGAACAAATCTGAGAGAGGTCCACCTGTAGTACCTTTATAATTAATATCAAAGCAATTGGACTCGCAGTTTTTAACAAAAAGTCAGAAATATCACTTTTTACCAAAAATGACAAAAATATTCACCAAAATTTAAGAATTAAAGATATCATTACAAAATGAACAAATCTGAGAGATGTCCACATGTAGTATCTATATATGTAATATCAAAGCAATTGGACTTGCGGTTTTTAAGAAGAAGTCGAAAATATCACTTTTTTTTTACCAAAAATGACAAAAATATTCACCAAAATTAGAGAATTAAAGATATCATTACAAAATGAACAAATCTGAGAGAGGTCCACATGTAGTAGCTTTATAAATAATATCAAAGCAATTAGACTTGCGGTTTTTAACAAGAAGTCGAAAATGGCACTTTTTACAAAAATTAGAGAATTAAAGATATCATTACAAAATGAACAAATCTGAGAGATGTCCACATGTAGTATCTATATATGTAATATCAAAGCAATTGGACTCATGGTTTTTAACAAGAAGTCGAAAATATTACTTTTTACCAAAAATGACAAAAATATTCACCAAAATTAGAGAAATAAAGATATCATTACAAAATGAACAAATCTGAGAGATGTCCACATGTAGTATCTATATATGTAATATCAAAGCAATTAGACTTGCAGTTTTTAACAAGAAGTCGAAAATATCACTTTTTACCAAAAATGACAAAAATATTCACCAAAATTAGAGAATTAAAGATATCATTACAAAATGAACAAATCTGAGAGAGGTCCACATGTAGTATCTATATATGTAATATCAAAGCAATTGGACTAGTAGTTTTTAATAAGAAGTCGAAAATATCACTTTTTACCAAAAATGACAAAAATATTTACCAAAATCAGAGAATTGAAGATATCATCATGAAATGAACAAATCTAAGAGAGGTCTACCCAAGGTACATATACACCAAGTATCAAAGCATTCAGGCTCGTAGTTTTCAAGAAGAAGTCGAAAAAGTAAAACATTGACACAGACGACGACGGACAATCACTCATATGATAAGCTCCGCTCGACAAAGTCAACAGCGGAGCTAAAAATAAAAATGTGCGAACAAATATCGATATTTCCAGCTATTGTTGATTTAAACTTTTTATCTTTTGAACGGTTTTCACGGTGTTCAGTATAATTGATTTAGTTTACATACCTGTCCTTTCTGGAACTTCTCCTCATTTTCTGTAGTAGGTTTCCTCAAATCACGTCTTCCTGTGTCACCTTTAGATCCTCCAATGATAACAAACACATCAGCATCAGTACCACTCTCATCCTTTTCACCAGTGTATACTTCAAGCACATATTCATGAACTAAAAAAACATTTTTTTTTTTTTCAATGAAGTTGTAAATCAACACAGGTACAAGTATTCAGATTCAAATTTGAATTCAACACTGGACACTGAGGGTGATGTCAATTTGATTGAATCAAGAAAATCAAGTTAAGTTCACTATCATGATAAAAAACAGTAGCCTTGTTCATGAATAATGAAGCAGCTATGTAAGTTTCAGCATTTGACAACAATTTGAATCCCTTGCAACCATCACGGTGAAAACAAAGTCTCAGAAAACTGTACTTTGGGATAGTTGATGAGATTCCCTGAACATAAACTTGCATACAGTCTCTTGTATTCTGTGGGTGTTTTTGGGTTACCGCGAAATAGACAAGAAACTTGTGACCCTTGCAAGGGTTCCCTTGCTATTAATAATATTAATGAGCATTTCGATGACATCACAAATTTGATGGGCAGACCATGCATACGTAATAAGTAAACTTAAATTCTTTCAAGACATCTGTGAATAGCGGGCAAGCAATCGCAAGCACACCGACAAAAAATCTACAAGAATCAACAAGAACTCAGGAATGCATTTGTATTGCACGTTGGGGCAAAGATAGAAAAATTGTACAATCCTAGTGACAAGGGTCACAAGTCCCTCGTTTATTTTGTGGTAAACTGACTTTCACTGTAACCCGGATTTTGCCATTGAAACACACCCATGATAATTTATTTTATTGAAAAAGCACCAAAATATGAACAAGAGACTGTATACAAGTCTATGCAGTGAGCAGTGTAACAAGATTAACCCTACATGTGCAACATGTATAAATTTTGGTTGCTCAGGATTACTTCAAATTTAAGTTTGTGCTGTTTTCTTCTCAACCAGCATTCTACAGCAGCTTGCACAGATCCCATAGAAATACATAATACAGTGGTGCATGTCTTAGCAGCGTAGAACGTTTGATGGTGCAGCTCTGTCCCAAAGAATACGTGTTTTAAACAGAATTTACCGTTCAATGGTTCATCATTTTCTCTCAAAGCAGGGGCTTCTTTACATGCAGTTCCATCGCCATCATTGACACCAATCCAACAATCAAAATTAAATTCTAATTTCTCTCCTGTATGTTTGTCTTCCATTGTTAGCTGTAATGAAAAAAAAGTTCTATCAAATTGATTCATTTTATACTCATTCTTATCAATGAATGTCTTATGACATAGCTTATTGATTGATTGATTGTCCAACGAAAATAAATGAGTAAATCTGATACTTTATACTTGCTATTTAATGCATATGTATGTCACTCACATAATCAACTCTCCATCTTGGATCAGGATTTGTATTGTTATGCAGCAGCCGGATCTTGGAGATTTTACCAACATCTATCAACCGCTGAATAGAAGAACATAAAATTAACACGAAGATATAATCAAAACATCACCCAGAATCTACTATGTCATTCAAAGTACAACATACAATATATTGATGAATTTTTGCATGTACCACAAACAGGTTGCATATATATCACAAAGAGGTTGTACATCCACT